ATATATTTATTTATAAATCTAGTGCCCCTAGTAAGCACACAACTCTGAACTATTATTTGAGAATATAAAGCCTCAAACATCTATTTTAGAACGATACACATAATTTTAAGATACCCTATAATTCTATGCCAAAAATAGATAGGTTTTCTGCTATTTTAAAACTGTTTACTTTTATCTATTTTTTAAATTGTGGTTTCTTTGCTTATTTGGTTGTTTTCTTTGTATAACCACAATTTCCAGTTTAGCACTGTTACTTATTTGTACCTCCCAGGTCTTGCAGTAAAACAACTAAATGCAGAAAAGGTATGGGAAATATAATCAAAAGCCATTACTACCTTTGTGTGCTCTTTTTTTTTTTTTTTCTAAGTTTTATTTATTTATTTTTTTGAGGGAGGTGGTGATAATTGTTTGTTTGTTCTAGAAGCCAACATGTAAGTTCAGAAAATTGAAAAAAGAATATTTTAGAATTTCAAAGGTGGTTGGTTGCCTTCTCACTTTCATCACTCTACATGCTGTGTATATTAGACGAAATACACACCACTAGTTTTTCTATCGTTTAATTTCTCTTTAGGAAGTCTAATGATACTTGTATTTTCTACATTGATCTTCTCCTAGAAAGTTCATATGCATGAAGGAAAGTTTCTGAAAATTCAGACCCTTTAATCTACTCAGTAGTTACCTATTTCTACATAAAGATGAGGAGGATTAGCCCTTAACATTTCTTGGCAATTTCATTACCTCTATTGTTTTTAATAATGAAGAGAATATAGTGCATCAAAGGTTTAAAGAGAAAAGGTCTGCATAACATGAATTTTACTGAAACTTTTAACTTTAAAATTTTAACTTTAAAGCAGGTAAGATTGCTTAGAAAGACTTGAAACAAATTCTTAAGGTGAATATGAATCTTACACACACACACACACACACACACAAAAGAGCTCACTGCTCTCAAGTTGGATCCGACTCACAGTGACCCCTCTTTGGGTTTCTGAGGCTATATCACTACAGAAGTAGATTGCCCACCTTCCTTCCTTCTGATTAGAAGTCAAATGCCTTAGGCACTATGCTAATATGAATTTTACAATGCTTTTTTTCTCTATAATTCTGCCGCTTCAAGTCAATGATTTTCTACACTTAATGGATGAATTTTGAATGTTGCAGTATGAGTCAGAAGTTATGTGTACTAATTCTAGACTGCTTATTAATGTAACACAATGTTATGTTCTTATGTAAGGCACTTAATTGATGCCAATTCCTTTGCCCATCTTTTACAAAAAAGAACACCAAATACAGAAAAGTTAAAAATTTGCCTAAAATGACACAGTTTGTTAGTGGCAGAGCCAGGATTCAAACTCCAGCAGATAAACTTCCAAGTTCAGACTCTAAATCATTGTACCACATTAACTTTATTTAAATCTAAATGCCATTAATTTTCTAATATGATGACCTACTACATCATCCTATAAGAAAGACAGTTTTTCAGCCTTTATTAAGCACCCAGAGCTTGCAATGAGCGTTACTATGAAAAAAAAAAAGAAACCTCTACCACTGCCATGAAGTCAGAACTGACTCATAGTGACCCCTTCTTAGATTTCCGAGGTGGTTTCACTACAGAAGTAGATTGCCTAACCTTCCTTCTGAGGAGTTGCTGGTGAGTTTGAGTGGCCAGCCTTCTGGTTAACAGTCAAATGCCTTACGCACTACGCCACCAGAGCTCCCATGAGCCTTATTTGTTGTTGTTGTTGTTGTTGTTTGCCGTCGAGTCGGCCCCGACTCATAGCGACCCCTAGGGTCTATTAAATATGAACAAATAACATTTGATAACCAGACACTCTAACAGGAAATACAAAATCAA